CATATATGCCTCTATGCCAAGGTGGCAAACTGCATGGTTTTGCCATTGGTGTGTGACTGCAAGACAAAGAGGCTGCTGGGTACCTTAGTGACCATCACATCATAAGCCCAGCAGGCTGAGTCTGGCTTGGTGGATCACACATTGCTTGGGAAAGATCACAAGGTAGTGCTAGAGCAGATGTTTTATATCCCAAATTCTACTCCTGGCATCTTTAGATAGATCTGAAACCTGAAGAGCTGCTGACAATGAATGGAGAGAAGGTTTCCCCAAGATGGTGCCCTTTACAGGTGCTTCTACAGTAGAAGAGGTTTTTAATCATGAAATTGCTCTCTCTTAAATCTGACAGATGCACTTACCTTCTGTTCACAACTCATCTATTCCAGGGGTAGCTCATGGACTAAGCAACAATCACCCAAATTTTCAAGGATGCCCCCTGCTCTAGTCACAAGTTGCCTATGGTGCTTTCTCACTGCTGCCTCCATCTCCCTTCCAATCCAGAAAAATCTGATAGGCAGGAAAAAATGGATTAGCTGAGTTTTCTATTCTACTGTGTCAGGAGCTGCGTATCTGGAAGCAGTCCAGAGGTGTGGGACTACAACTTCCAAAATCCCACCCTCCTACCTACCCTATTTCCCCAAAAATAAGACCTAACCTGAAAATAAGCCCTAGTATGATTTTTCAGGATGCTCCTAATACAAGCCCTGCCCTGAAAATAAGCCCCACTCAAGTGAAACCCCTCCCTCCACCCTTGTGTTACCCTGAAAATAAGTCAAGTGAAACCCCTCCACCATTGTGCAGCAACCAGAAGATGACATGACTGTATTTGAATAAATGTAGGCTGTTGTACATGAAAAAAAAATCCCCTGAAAATAAGCAAAATATGCAAAATAATAAGCAAAATAAGCAAAAATTAATATAAGACCCTGTCTTATTTTCAGGGAAACACGGCATATTAGCTGGGCCTGGTAGGTGCTGTCATCCAAAGCACCCAGAGGAGGGGAGCTATTAGGAAAGAGGTGATGAAGCCAACATGTTGAGCTAGATGGCCCAATGCAAGGTAGTTTCATATAAGGTAGCTTTCTATGCTGTCAGATAAGAATGTATGGATCTGCTTTATACCAAGTTAGAGAGAACACTCATCTATCCACCCCAGTGATGTTTACTTTGATGGCAACATGTCTCCAAGCTGAGATCCTTCTACCTTTGGCAAGGACAACACAGACCCTACCAATGAGCTGAGCCCTACTCAAACCTAAGACCCTCTTTCCCAGCACCACTTCCAATTAATATTAAGGAGTTCTCTCTTTGTGCATCCCACTCCCCTTCCAAAAACATTTACCATACCTCATGAGTTGACTGATGCTATGACTTGATCAAGAGGACAATTTTTGATTTACCCAAGCATATTTTCCTCCTTCCCTCCCTGGAGCCTTTCCAGTGGAGAATTTAAGGTGAGTAAAAGGATGGCTTACAGCCTCACTTGTTATCAGCCTGACTTTAAGATCTGTGTCAATGTCACTTTAGAATGGTTTAGAATGCCTATAGAGCGAAAGTGACATGAAACATACACCAGTATATCTAGTTTAAAGAGACAAGGGTTTCCAGTTCAGCTATGATAAGGAGGCAAGGTGGAAGCAGCTCTTGGGGCCAGCTGCTGCCTCTCTTTTTACTAAGGTGCTTCTAAACAACTGATTTCCCCCAGAAAAGGCAGCACTGAACAGGAAAGAGGAAGTTGGAATGCTTGAATTAAAAGATGAGAAGCACTGGGAGGAGGGAATTGATGCTTCTGGCCCTTTATTTACAGGAAAGAAGAGGATTATACTCCCACCTTCCTGCCAGTCCATCCTCACCTACAAATGCCCAACCTAGGCTCTACATTAATTTCTTTTTAAGGCACTGGTGAGTCCCATATCAGATTGGTTGCATTATGCTTTGGTTGTGCTTTTAATTTAAGCCAGAAGCAGGACACAGAAAATATTTTTAAAAGGAGAAAGACAAGGCACCCAAACTGTTTGGTGTTCTGTAGTACTGTACTGTATACAAGTTTCCCAAGACCAACACAAACACCATTTTCTAATGGTTAAGCATGATGTGAGTTGTACTCCAAAACATCTGAAGAGTGACAGCCTACCCTTACCCTATATACATTACAGTAATAAGATATCTGGCCTATGATATTTCTATTAAAAATGTTTACTTTGCTTCTTGTGTTCTTTTACAGTAATCACATTATTTCTAAACAGCAAGGCTCCCTAGATCTTTACCACCACTCTCTTAATCTCTATGACCCCTATTTGGGCCTTGTTTTGCTTCATTTACATTTGTTTTATCGTATTTTACTTCCTTTTTAAGGGCTATGCTCTCAGAAAACAGCATGCAAATGAGATACAGGGCATGACAGACAAAGCAGACAAAGTTTTGCAAAGCTATATTTAATACCACGTATGAGTGTGAAAGCTGGACAGTAGAGATGGGCACAAACCCCCAAACTGGAAGCTTATGCCGGTTCATTTTTCAGCCAAACAGGTGTTCGAGGTTTCCCAGCCCTGCTTCCTCTCACAGGCACCCACACAGAGGTAGCTCCCTGGATTCCCTGCCCTGCCTCCTTCAGAAGCTGCCTCTTTAGTGGAGCTGCCTGCTGGAGGGCCAGGACTAGGAAGCACTGAACACCTGTTGAGCCAAAAAACAAATTGGCTAAAACTGCTGGTTCATGCTCAACTCTACTGGACAGTAAAGAAATCTGACAAGGGGGAAAAAAACTATGCATTTGAAATGCGGTCGTGGAGGAGAGCTTTTCAGATAGCCTGACCTGCTAGAAAGTTGAACAAGTGGATCCTAGATCAAATCAAGCCTGAACTATCTGTGGAGGAAAAAAAAAACTTTGAAATTGAGGCTGTCCTACTTTGGCCACAAACAAGTGGATCCCAGATCAAATCAAGCCTGAACTATCTGTGGAGGAAAAAACTTTGAAATCGAGGCTGTCCTACTTCGGCCACATCATGACAAGACAGGAATCTCTGGAAAAGATAATAATGCTGGGAAAAGTGGAAGGCAGAAAGAAAAGAGGAAGACCAAAAGGGATTGGCTCCATAAAGGATGCTACAGCCCTTGAGCAGGACTGTTGACGACAGGACATTTTGGAGATGGCTCATTCACAGAGTTGCCATAGGTCAGAGATGACTTGAGGGTACGTAAGACAACACACATATTGAACACACACACACAAAACAGAAGGCAGATTCAAATAGGAAGATCTTTGACTACTTTTGCTTTATACTACATGTGTACACAGAAAGAGCTAGGCACACATCAGTAAGAAAGGGACTCCATGGTGTTGGGGCCACTGCAGAGAAGGCCTTCTCTTGTGCACAACCTAACATTGATGAAAGGCAAGTGCTCCAAAAGGACCCTTGGGACAGATCCTATCAAAAAGGCAGGATTGTATGGCTAAAGGCAGCCTTCTAAATAGCCTTAGCCCCAGCTGTTCGGGATTACAATAGTTAAGACCAACACTCTGCCTTAGGCCAGAAGCTTACTGATAGAACTGACCACTCAAATCAAGTTAGGTTGCTCAACTTCCTGGCTGCCACCACATTCAGGAAGCCACATTTCCTAACAAATGGAGCCTCCAAACCATCCTCTGAAGCAGACTTCCCACCACTGTGAAATGTACTGTAGTAGTCTAGTTTGTGGGTAACCAGGTCTGACTGTTCTTGAGTGCTTATAGAAAGCATTTCTCTTCACAGCATGTACCTGCAGGTCGCCAAATATAGGTAAGCCCCACTGCATCCAGTCCAAATTTACATCGGGTGGTTCAAGGGAAGTGCAAGCACATCAAAGATTAGCTTCACGCCATCATTTAGATAAACCAGTTTCCCCTACAGAACCTAAAAATTACGTTTCAGTTTGTTCTATCCAAATCCACTCCGATATCCCATCCACTTATTAAGGAGTTCCACTACATCCTCAAGACTTTTAGATGGAAAAGAAGGGTAGGCTTGTGTGTTGCTTGTATACTGGTGTCAATCAATTCCAAACCCTCCAAATGTAGTATTCTAGAAGGTAAAGGCCTTGGGGCAGAACAAAAATGACCCTACAAAACTTGGTACCAACTGCCAACACAACTAAAATTACTGCATAAGACTGTGGCTTTTAACTCCTACATAATGTAGGCAACTCTTCAGTGTAAACCAACTAGAACACAAATCTGGCACAACAATTACACGCATTTATACAGTACAACTACTAAATAAGATTACTGTTTGGATGTATGTTTCTCCAAGTGCCCATGTGCAAATAGTTCAATAACTGTAACCAGGTTCTTCTAAAACAAGATATTCCTGTAATAACACCTAGACAGCAGTTAGGACAGGCCAAGAATTGCTAGCTTGTTTACAGTCATGGCTAAAGGTTAGACTAGAACCACCTGCTTCACAAGTGACTCTTTAACAGAAAAAGCTGCAGCAGTAAGAACACACCACAACGGCTGTCTATTCAAGTTCATGAATCTTTCTCAAGCAAGGACCTGCAGGCCACGGGAAAATCCTGAGACTATTTAGGAGCATCAGGCACTCAGAAGGATCCGCTAATTGCAGAGGGTGTTCCATGTCCCTATTTGCTGGCCTGACGGAAGAGAAACGCGCATCCCTGGAACGAAACGGTGGCTGCAGCCGCCGTGTGAATGGAAAGGCTGGCGGCAAGAGATTAAAAGATACGCCTACCACCACCCGCCACTTGCGATACACTCCGTTCGTTTCTCCAAAGGCGCAAATGGGGAGTAGCTCGACCAGATCATGTCCCGGCAGCAGGATGAACAGATTCATCATCATCACCATGTTATTAATTTAACCAGAGCCACCCCTTAATAAAAGCACGGAGATAACTGCCGCAACCTCAAGGGCAGAGGCGGAGACCAGCCAGGCGGGCTCCTTCGTTCCATCCCCGGCGGTCCTGCCCGACCGCTGCCCCAGGACTGCCTCTTTCTCTCCCCCCCCCTTTACCTTGCAAGGGAAGAGGACGGCCGAGGCCACTTTCTCCATGGCCAAATTCCGGATGCTGGGGGTGAGCGATCCCCTGCACGTGGGGCAGCAGCTCAGCTTCTGCCGGCATTGGTTGCACACCAGATGCCCGGCCTGACACTGCAGGATCGGCGGCAGGACATAGTCGAAGCACACGGGGCACTCGAACAGCGAGGTCAGCTCGTGGTGCTGAGGCGAGACCGGCCCCCCGCTGCCGTCGCCCCCTCCAGGGCTCGAGAGCACCGTGGCCGCCGCCGGCACCCCAGAAGAGGCGGCTCCGGCAGCCGAGATGGTGGCGGCGGCGGCGTTGTTACTGGCGGGGGCAGCAGCAGCAGCAGCGGGAGCAGCCGCCGCCGCCAGAGACGGAGTAAGCTGCTGCTGCTGCTGCTGCTTGCCGCAAGGGTTGCTAGTGCTGGGTCCGGCGGAGGACGGGCGGCTCATGTCGGTCGGAGCAAACCATCGAAGTGCGAAACGCCGAGCGGAGCGCTCCCCGAAACCCCGCAGGGCCCTGCCAGCCTCACGACTCGGGAAAAAAACAACTCTGCCGCGGCTCCTTTTCCTCCCTTAGAGCGGCTCGCTGGCGCCCGCCTGCCTGCCTGCCTGCCCTCCCCGGAGAGCGAGCGGTCACGAAAGCAAGCGAGAGATTCCGGCCGGGCCTCGCGTGGGCGCCGCAGAACGCCGCGACCGTTCCAAAAGTCTCCCAACGTTCGGAAAGAGAACGCTGGAACGCCTCGCTGCCGCGCTCCAGCCGGGCCACTTCAGCGTTCTCCGAGCCAGCCCTTCACGCGCCCCGCCCCGCGCCCAGCAGCCTCTTCCGCTCCTCACCCGGGCGCGCGCCCCCTTTTCTGCTTTGTGCTGTGTGTGTGCTGCGACGCCGGAGGGAGGGACCGAGGCAGCCAGGGAGGTGGCGTCGAGTCACAGCCGCCTCCTTCCAAGGCCCGGTTGGCTTTTACTGAGCATGCCCCGAGTTTTGCGCTCCTGGCAGGCAGAGGGCGAAAGGAATCGTTGCCTTATTCCGCTTCCCTTTCTTCTCAGCCTCGCCTCCAGGATCTGCTCCGGCAGGAGCCGAACCGTGGCAGTGGAACGAAAAGATTTAAAAATAAATAAATGAAAAACGATGTGTTGCGGGTGGGGAAGTGGAGAGGATACAGTACTTGGCCACGTCGGTAAAAACTATTGTTTATGGGTGTTGCGAAGCCCGAATGAGGCTCCTCGTTTGCCACCTGCTGGCTATCAAGGGCAATACTGCTTCGCCGAGTTTTCTATTCTGATCGGAAATACTATTTTTTCCCCCTGAGGGAAACTCGCCTAACTGTGGATCATTTCTCCCTGTTTTGGAAAGGAGGAAGAGCAGTTCCCGAAGAGAATGCTGCGGCTTAGAGGCTGGCACTACTTCTCCTGTTGAAAACAATTAGTTTTGTTTTGTTTTTGACTGAGCAGGGATAGCTGCCTACAGTTCTTCTTTCCGTTGTGTATGTACTCCTGTTGGAAACAATTAGTTTTTGTTTTTGACTGAGCAGGGATAGCTGCCTACAGTTCTTCTTTCCGTTGTGTATGTCCTATTAAGGTGTTCCGTAACACCGGTGTGGATCTTCCAAGCTGGGTGGGCCTGCTCCTCTTCCAAAGTTATGGATGTCATAATTTGCTAACACAGGGCAGATGCAACAGTCCGTGTACTTTACAGTATTTTCTAAAAAAAACACATCGTTATGCCCTCTTCCAAAGTTATGGATGCCATAATTTGCTAACACAGGGCAGATGCGACAGTCCGTGTACTTTACAGTCTATGCAAAAGAATAGACTGTCGTGGATGTGATGCCAAACATCTGTAGTACTTAAAAACCACTGGTCAGAGTTTGAAGCAAAAGAATAGACTGACGTGGATGTGATGCCAAACATCTGTACTTAAAAACCACTGGTCAGAGTTTGAAGTAACTAGTTACTTCTAATTAATTCATTTGTCCAATAACAAAGGCATAGCTAAGCAGCATTACCATTGTAACTCACTAAAGGATAACTTCATTGCTTTTGTACTGCACTTGTAATGTTTTCATTAATTTTACAGTTATGGAGAGTTTGGGCTTATTACTCTATATTGAAGGACAAATATCACAGGGTTTATGTGCAGATGATTCCATTGTGAGTGTTCAGATGACAGTGAAGAGACCCAGGAAGAGAGAATCTTTTGTTCCACTGGCCTGCAGCTTGTAACTTGACTATTTAAAACAGTAAATAAAAGAAACTGAGTTGCTTTAGAGGAAAAAACAACTATAAAGTTACTGTCTAAATAGTAACCAATTGTTACCTACTTTTGGTCTTAGAAATATGCCTTTAACTAATTACTTTTGAAAAGTAATTTCCAAGCTCTGCCAGTGGTGGGAGACAATTGAGTTGTTTCTTCTTCTTCATCATCATCATCATTGTCATCATACCAAGGAATTTTGTGGCACCTCTAAAACAAATCAGTTTATTACAGCAGTGGTTCCAAACTTTGAGTCCCCTGCTATTCTTGGAGTATGACTCCCAGAAATCCTGGCCAGCACAGCTCGTGGTGAAGCTTTTTGGGAGTTTAATCCAAGAACATCTGGGGGCCCAAGGTTGGGAACCACTGTATAAATTGTATGCCATAATGAATGTTTTAGTCTTGAAGATATCACAGGACTTTCTTGTTACTTCAGCAGACTGGTACAGAGGCATCTTTGAGAGTGATTTTATTCTTCTTTGGGAATGGTTTTATTTTCGAGCAAAATAAATGTCAGAGTTAGATTTCAGTGGGAAAGAGCTGAACAAGAATTCATCAAAGATTTAGTTCCATCTTCTGTGGCTTGAATAAGGACACACTTTAAAAAACACACAGCACTATTGTATTAACGGGCTTAAAAGTGCAAAGATATTTGTATCAACTACAGTTTGCTTTATTAATGGCTGCTATTAAGATAATTATCATCTTTTGTCCTTTTTGTGTTTTATTTTTTTCTGATCCCAGTAGTTTCCTTCACTGACCCATTTCTCTTTTCATCTAGCACATGTATAATAAATAAATCTACAGCTAAGGAAAGCATACAAGCTTCAATTGAAAGGCCCTGTAGTAAATTCACAAATCACACTTAAAGAGGCTACAAGGCTCCCCCCTTTTTAATTATAGTAATTGTTTCTGAATTCACAGTGATGTATTTGAATTAACATATGCAATTTTTTTGTGTGAAATGGTATCTTCTTTTTTGACAAAGCATCAGTGGATATCCTAACAATACACAATCTGTTATCTCTTTCACAGTGCAGATAATAGGAAAGCTATGATCCTTCCAACCTATAAAATAAATCTGTGCTTTGGTACTTTCTGTATCATAAAATGCCTATAACTCAGAATCTGACAAGCTGTCACAATGATGCTAAGCATCTTTATTATTATTATTATTTTGCAAAACCTGGAGGAATAATGGCATGTCAAATAAAAGATCTGATTCACCAAAGTACTATAAAACCAGAGTTCTGTAGTTACAGAGAGATCTGATTCACCAAAGTGCTATAAAACCAGAGTTCTGTAGTTACAGAGGGTGCAAGTTAGAGGACCTACAAACTCCATTTCCATTCATATTAACACATTGTAATATAAATGCATTCAACTGTCATTCATGGAAAAAATATTTTGCAATGACATTGTATATACACAAAATTTCACATCTTTACAAATAGCTCTGCTGAAAGCAGTATTTCCATAGCAAGTAATCTTTCAAATAAGGATCTATACAATGTGAAAAAGTTCAAAGTATGTTTTATCAGACTTGAAATACCTTGAAGACTAATATACTTGCCTGGCATGCCATATGTACGAACATCAGCTAGCTCAAATTGTTATGTCTGGAAGGGTGTAGAAGGCTATATTCATGGAGCAGATGGCAAGGCTATACTCATGATGTTTAAGCCCCACCCACTACCCTATCCCTCTAGATCAGTGGTCCCCAACCTTGGGCCTCCAGATGTTCTTGGACTGCAACTCCAAGCAACCATGTCCAGCCACGCTGGTGGTGAAGGTTTCTGGGAGTTGTAGCCTAAGAACATCTGGAGGCCCAAGGTTGGGGACCACCACTCTAGATCAGTGCTTCTGAACCTTGGGTCCCCAGCTGTTCCTGGACTACAACTCCCAGAAACTCTGGCCAGCAGAGCTAGTGGTGAAGGCTTCTGGGAATTTTAGTTCGAGAATGTCTGGGGACCCAAGGTGGAGAACTACTGCTCTAGAAGATTTTGTATGATGAGCACAAAGGTCTGAAGAGTGTTATTAAGTGCCTACAGAGCTGCCAGGACTGGAAACTCCTCTTCATGCTTTCAAGACCATGAAATGGGGCTTTTGCTAACTGTCTATGCATCTGATAAAGTCTGTCATCCACAAAACCTTATGCCAAATAAAATCTGGTTTTTAAAATGCCACTAGATCCTTTGTTCCATCTTCCAGCAAAAGAGTTGGAGGATACTTTCCTCTGTACTTTGGCAGTATAGAGGAAATGGCATTAGTGCTTCTCTCACACCCGGGAATTTGAACTGAACGTGATACTAGCCTGCTAGCTGTTACAATATTCATGAATCACCACTTAGTAAGAAGACAGTGAAATATTTTGAGTAAAATGCGGAGAAGGGTGTGTTGTATTCAGTTATGACTCTTAATGTGTCTTGTGCAAGTCTTGTTTCAAAATCATCTTTCAAAGGCTGGAGAAAAGACTGAACTACTTTGTTGTTATTCCTGAATGATGTCCACACCCTACCACACTCAACACAAGGCAGGAGAAAATACTGATTAGTTGCTAGATGTTGCTCAAACCAGACATAGCAGTTACGGTTTCACAATGGGTGAGTGAGAGAAGCTCACATTCAGGTCTTCATCTGAATAGAGGAAAGATGTTGCACAGGGCATTCATGGCTTTTTTTAAAAAAATGTCAAAATAGATGAACTTGTGGCAAGATATTTGCTCCATGCTAGGTTAGTTTCTGGCTTTCAATCTGCAGTGCACCATTCTAGCCATCACAACCTCTTTTGTCACCTGTGGCTGTATGACTCATCTCTAACTTTAGACGTGAACGAGGGTCCATTTATTTCTTCATTTTCAGTGTTGTTGTTCTGTGCATAGAATGTGATGGAAAGATAGGAACACTCAGGTTTGAAAATTCCCTTTGAATTCAACAATCATTATAATAGGGTATGAACAGCTCAAAGAATTGGCTCCAGCTGTTCTTTTATGCAGAAACAACCTTATGTGATGCCCTTTATCAGAAGAAAACATTGTGCAAATATGGCTGTATAAATAAGAGGTCAGGCTACTGTTCTTACTTTAGTTTTATCCTTTTATATAAGTGCTGATTCATAGTTCAACTAGGGGTGGGGAAAATCCATTTTTTCATCTCTGTTTTTGTCAGCTCAAACTGATCAAAGAAGTAGTGAAACTAGAATAGCCATGGGTCCTGCTTTACAGGGCACAGTCCTCTGTTAAAGGACTGTAAAATAATAGTCCAGTCCACATCTAGTATTAATTGAGTTGTCCCCTTCTCTTCCCTTCACACTTTCCTAACATCAAGGTCTTTTCCAAGGAATCTTCTCTTCTCATGAGAAGGCCAAAGTACTGGAGCCTCAGCTTCAGGATCTATCCTTCCAGTGAGCACTCAGGTTTGATTTCCTTTAGAATTGATAGGTTTGTTCTCCTTGCAGTCCAGGGGACTCTCAAGAGCCTCCTCCAGCACCACAATTCAAAGGCATCAATTCTTTGGTGTTGCTGTCTCCATCTGCAGTGATCATGGAGCCCAAGAAAGTAAAATCTGTCACGGCCTCCATATC